AACCGCTTTCAAATCGCTCAGCGACGCTAGTAAGCGCTTAAAAGCGCTTATAAGCGCTTTTAAATTCAAAAAAGCGCTTTTTTGAATTATGACACCAATTATAATCGATTATAAGCGATTTTTTTTGAACCGTTTATAATCGTAAAAAAAGCGATTGTAAACGGTTTTTTTTTAAAAAAGCGCCGAAAAAGCGCTCAATAAGCGATTATCGGCGACGATCATAAAATATCGTTTATGGAAACTTGCCCTTTATTTGCTCCGTGTTGGCAAAATAACTAATTTATCGACATAGTGATGGTGATAAAGTGACATTATATACTAATTGAGGTATGATTCTTCAAAATAGGGGCAAGAAATGTAAATTTCGTCACATCAGCCATTGCATTAGTTAGATAGATTTTCTTTCATATCAACTGCCCTTATTATAGTTGGAATGGATTTATACAGGAAATATAGAAACCCATGCCCATTTTTCATCACATTGAAATTATACTGTTGGGGCAGGAAAAGTAAATTTCGTCACATTTCGGTAAATTAGTGATATTAAACTCAGCATTGTTCAACTCGAGTTCTGATTTGCTGAAAAATAACCTACCAATAATTCCTGGAAGAATATTGAATTCTAATCGGGGTATGGTTCTTCAAAATAGGGTCAAGAAATGTAAATTTCGTCACATACGTCATTGTAAAATTTAGATACATTTTCTTTCACATCAACAGTCCTAATTATAGTTTGAAATGAATAATTCAGAGATGAAGGAAATATAGAAACCCATGCCCATTTTTCATCACAATGAAATTATACTTTTGGGGCAGGAAAAGTAAATTTCGTCACATCTCGGTAACTTAGTAAAATTAAACTCAGAATTGTTAAACTTGAGTTCTGATTTGCTGAATAATAACCTACTAATAATTCCTGGAAGAATATTGAATTCTAATCGAGGCATGTTTCTTCAAAATAGGGTCAAGAAATGTAAATTTCGTCACATCAGCCATTGCATTAGTTAGATAGATTTTTTTTTCATATCAACTGCCCTTATTATTATTGTGACAATTTTTACATCAACTGCCCTTAACTTGAATCAGCTCTATTATATCCGTGCATCGTCCTTATATACAGTTTTCCCGCCTTCCAAACCAAAATCAGATATAAATGATTTCGGCAATTCACCCAGAATTTTAAATTCCATATAATGTGACAGAATTTACATCATTTCCCAATAAGTGCATGTATTTGCTAACTTTTCAAAACAACATATTTTAGGGCTATGATTGGTAGAAGAACCATCAAATAATGAGTTGAAAGGGTTTTGAGGACACCTCACAGTAGAAAAGAGGTATCGTATTCTGAGTGTGACAAAGTTTACGAAATATTGCCTTAAAACCGTTCGATCCCTGCCCTTTAGCCAAATGTTGTATCATAATTGTAAATTGTTAGAATGACCTAATCTACTATATTTTAAACCAAAAAATGCTAATTGGGCAGCTATGGTTAACACAGTCACAAAAATGTGACATTTTTTACATTATAGTGCCTAAAAACAATAAATTGTATTTCTGAGCCGTGTATATGGAAGTATGGGTCACGTGGCTAATGTCCAGAACTTCTGAACACGCTATATTTTTTGGTTTACCAATATCCTTAAACTTCAACATGAACGTGTCCATTTACGATTTCGTATCATTTTGTGACGATGTTTACATCAACTGCCCTATACTTCAATCAACTGTATCCGTGTATCGTCCTCATATATAGAGTTTTCCCGCCTTCCAAACCAAAATCAGATATAAATGATTTCGGAAATTCACCCAGAATTTCAAATTCCATATAATGTGACAGAATTTACATCATTTCCCAATAGCCAAGTGCATGTATTTGTTAACTTTTCAAAACAACATATTTTATGGCTATGATTGGCAGAAGAACTATCAAATAATGAGTTGAAAGGGTTTTGAGGACACCTCACAGTAGAAAAGAGGTCTCGTATTCTGAGTGTGACAAAGTTTACGAAATGTTGCCTTAAAGCCGTTCGATCACTGCCCTTTAGGCCTACATTGTATCATAATTGTTAGATTGACCTAATCTACTATATTTTAGACCAAAAAATGCTAATTGGGCAGCTATGGTAAACAATGTCACAAAAATGTGACATTCTTTACATAATAGTGCCTAAAAGCAATACATTTTATTTTTGAGCAGTGCATATGGGAGTATGGGTCACGTGGCTAATGTTCAGAACTTATGAACACGCTAGATTAATATATGTTAAAATTAAACCACTATCGTCAAAAACGCTGTTTTAGAAATTTACCAATTTCCTCAAACTTCAATGAACGTGTCCTTATACTGATTTGGAGGTCATTAAAGCATTTTATTAATTTGTAATTCAAAATGAATAGGAGTGGAGAAATGATAAAATTTATTAACATAATATAGATTATTGATTCTTTAGATGTAGATTAATTTTACTTTTACATTTAGTGTTAACGATCAATCATAATGTTTATTGTTTATTGATATTATTTGAATATATGATTATCATAATACATATTGATATAACATCCTATTGAGGCTCATGCTACCCCTTCACGGGTTTAATACTACTACTAGTTGCTATTATATTTTGATGTATACTATATAATATACTATATTATATACTATATATACTAAGATCGCAAGTGCAGAGACGCGTGAGAAATATGTTAAATCTATGGCATATCATGATTCATGATGTTATAAGGGCTAATCTATAAATTACATTGTGTATACTGTATAAAACTACAATATGTACAAAATGGGGAGCAATGTAAACATCGACATACAAATTACGAGGTTCAGAAAGTAAGATAACCCATGCACAATGTACATCTAGAAGATACCGGGACAGAGCCATCCTTCTCGAATAATGCCCGCTGGAAAGTGAGCTTCTTCTCCTTGTCAGGGTCCTTTTAAAAGGCTTAACTATCCATTAGTAACTTCGTTCTTTGTTTGCTGTCACATTTTCTATTTTGAATTTCGGAGTGTCTCTGTCTATGAATTACAATAAGAAATCAAATTATATCATGTATTAATAAAGAGAAGGAGAAAAGGATTTCTGATTTCAGCATTACATCCCACTCCAGTTGACGCTGCGGACCTCTCTTCAGTTAATATCTATTCATTCTACTGAAATATATTAATTTCATGATGCTCACTGAATCAGCTGGGTTTACTGCTACCCGTTATTTTTCACAATCCAAAGGCTCAACTATCCGTTAGTAGCTCCATTCTTTATTCACTGTCAACCTCTATATTTTAAATTTCGGCGTCTCTATGAATTATAACCTCGAATTAATATTTCAGAAAGGAAAAAAAAATAAAAACACATTTCAAAATTTACACCCCCACCTGAGCCTGCTCCAGTTGACGCTGAGGACCACTCCTCAGTTAATATCTATTCATTTATTGGCACGTCAGATTAATTATTCAATAGGTGACACTGAACATGGAATTGACTGAGATCAATGGATTCTTACAGACTTTCCGTAATGACAATGACACTGTAAGATATATAATCTGGTTGATGTGTGCCAAATAAAATCTCAGTCAGGGGGGGCTAACTGCATGGACTACATGAAATATTCTCCTTGTCAGGGTCCTTTTAAGAAACTGAACTATTTGTTACTAGCTCCATTCTTTGTTTGCTGTCATTGCGGTCGATTATTCCAGAAAAAGAAATTTTAAAATATATCATGTATTAATGAAGAGAAGTCCGAGAAAAAGATTTTTTTATTTGAACATTAACATCCCCACCTGAGCCTGCTCCAGTCGGCACTACAGACCACTCCTCAGTTAATATCTATTCATTCTACTGACATATCTTAATTTCATGATGCTCACTGAATCAGCTGGCTTCACAATCTGTTATTTACTATATTCTTTGTTCGCTGTCATCTTCTAAATTTTGAATTTCGCCATTCTGTGAATTACAGCTTCGAAGTAGTATTTGAGAAAGGAAACCGAAAAGGTCTAGAAAAATATTCGGAAAAAACATCATGTATTAATGAAGAGTCGAGAATTTGTAGTGTGCTTGACTGAGAATCTCTTCAATCTGACTACTATTTGACTACTATTTGACTACTATCTGACTACTATCTGACTACTATCTGACTACTATCTGACTACTATCTGACTACTATCTGACTACTATCTGACTACTATCTGACTACTATCTGACTACTATCTGACTACTATCTGACTACTATCTGACTACTATCTGACTACTATCTGACTACTATCTGACTACTATCTGACTACTATCTGACTACTATCTGACTACTATCTGACTACTATCTGACTACTATCTGACTACTATCTGACTACTATCTGACTACTATCTGACTACTATCTGACTACTATCTGACTACTATCTGACTACTATCTGACTACTATCTGACTACTATCTGACTACTATCTGACTACTATCTGACTACTATCTGACTACTATCTGACTACTATCTGACTACTATCTGACTACTATCTGACTACTATCTGACTACTATCTGACTACTATCTGACTACTATCTGACTACTATCTGACTACTATCTGACTACTATCTGACTACTATCTGACTACTATCTGACTACTATCTACCTACTATCTGACTACTATCTGACTACTATCTCACTACTATCTGACTACTATCTGACTACTATCTGACTACTATCTGACTACTATCTGCTTACTATCTGACTACTATCTGACTACTATCTGACTACTATCTGACTACTATCTGACTACTATCTGACTACTATCTGACTACTATCTGACTACTATCTGCTTACTATCTGACTACTATCTGACTACTATCTGACTATTATCTAACTACTATCTGACTACTATCTGACTACTATCTGACTTCTATCTGACTACTATCTGACTACTATCTGACTACTATCTGACTACTATCTAACTACTATCTGATTACTATCTGACTACTAATATGATCTCAATCTCCAGGGAAACGAAATCCAACAGCATTAGAATCGAGGGTACTTCAGACACAGACCGCAAAGCTCAATGCTCTCTGTAGTGATTACAGCGACTCTATACCTTCCACTCCTGAACTACAGGTTAAAGAGTCTTCTAGTTGCATATCTATAAATAGTTTTAATACTCTCAATACTACTGTTTAATAAATAATTTTCACATGGAGGATCATCAAGCAGAAGATGTTTTGTATTCTTCATTTCTATGAATAAATTCTAATATTTTATATATATTATATTTATAACATGCTCCCACACTTAATATATATACCAAAAAAAGATACATTTAAGTTATTCAAACGAAACTTAATAACATGGAACTATAAAAAACACATACTCTTCATTTCAGTATAAATGTATTTCAGTATACATGTACATTGTACAGTGTATATAATGTATATAATGTATAAATCACAACTATCTACTCTCAGGACTCCTCTCTGGCTGATTCAGACCGAGCGATCTCCAGATCCACCGTTGCCACCCCACCCCCTGTTTCTGATGCCATCAGGATCCTGCAGGAGTATGTAGATAAGAGACATCTCCGTCTACATGATCTTTTTACGCAGGTCATTTGGGGATGTGTTGGGTTTCGTATTGTCCCTGAAGGGGGCAGGGGGGGTCTTTATGAAATTTCTCTCGAAATTGATTTTATAGTTGTTTCTGATAGAAGGGAGTGATATCTACCAGATATTTTTGGTCCCATGGAAAAATTTTGTTCCTAGCCGAAATTATTGCTGGTAAAGGTCAGCGCTCATGTGTAATTGTATTGCGCGAGCGATTTTCAATCGCGCGCCCTGAAAATCGAGTCTAAAAATCTATCTTCTCCTACATTTTTTGAGCAATCACCTTGAAACTTTCAGGATATGTTCTAAGGACCATTTAAAAACTTTTACTCTTTTTATAATTTCGAAATAGGCCTTTAAAAATTTTTTATTTGATTTTGAAAATCTTGGACCTCGTTTTTTGACAATTTTTTAAGGTCCAAGATTTTCAAAATCGAATAAAAAATTTTTAAAGGCCTATCTCGAAATTCTAAACCAAGTAAAAGTTTCTAAATGGTCCTTAAAACATATCCTGAAAGTTTCAAGGTGATTGCTCAAAAAATGTAGGAGGAGATAGATTTTTAGACTCGCTTTTCAGGGTGCGCGATTGAAAATCGCTCGCGCAATACAATTACACATGAGCGCTGACCTTTGACCGGCAATAATTTCGGCTAGGAACAAAATTTTTCCATGGGACCAAAAGTAGCAGATCGATATCACTCCCCTCTATTAGAAACAACTATAAAATCAATTTTGAGAGAAATTTCATAAAGACCCCCCCCCCCCTGCCCCCTGAAGGGAGTGTTTTTATTCCTGTTTATGATATGTAGCAAGTGTATGAGTGATTTATTTACACCGTACCCGTATTGTATTTATTTAAAGGAATGATAAGTTATTATTTAGGCTTATGAAAGTTTGACAGGGATAAGACAGGTATTATATAATAGGTATATTATTCAGATAAATATGATATCATTATAACAGGTATTTATTATTTAATATTAAAGGTATTTTATCGGGGTGTAATATAGATATTTTTTATCTAGATATTTTTTGTTGTTATTTAATTTAATATTTACACCACAGGGAATGAGGATTGGTATTTACAACAACTCAATAAAAATTAAAAATCAGTTAGCATAACCCTCAAGCTCTCAAGGTCCGCATTCTCCCACATCAGCCTCTGCCTGTTTTTGACCTTTTGCTGAAAACCTTTGCTGAAAGCATTCAAACATATAGTAAAATGTATTCTTCTTTAAGTTATCTTTAGTTATTTAAGAATAGCATTAACTCTTACATTGATGGAGATCTTGTCATTTTCAGATGGATAAGAACAAGTGCTGGTCTATTGGTGCACCAGAACTTGGCAAGATTGGTCTTACTCAACGACAGGTCTCTCAGTTTATTTCAATTTATTTCTAAATCGTAATTATTAGTTTAATGCTAATTATTGAAGGTAATAATTTGTAAATAATACATGTAATAAAATGTGGTACCTAATTTAGATTCTCTCGATAATATTTTTAAAATTATTTGTTTATAGTTATCAAAACTTAATATAAATTTTCCCACGTCCGTTTTACCACTACTCATCGGTCGAAAGTTTAATCGAAACTTGAATATATAATATATTGGCTACTAAATCTCCTTATATTAAGCAATCACTTCTGCAAACGTTGCATGATCATCAGCTGTTTTTATCAATGATCGTCAACAATATCACAAGCATGAATCACGCCTAAACTGCACGATTTGTGGTCACTCAATACTAATTCCGTCTTCAAGTTTTGACCAAACTTTCAACCGATCATCCAACCAAGGAGCAGACAGAGTAATGCTTGATCCTAGATCTCAGCCAGAGCCAGATTATTTCTCACAAAATAACACATCATCACACTGCTGCAGTACACCTTGCCTATCTATTCACTTAATGTGTACTCAGTAAGCTGTGTTTAATTCCTCTCAATAGGCTGCTTGCCTGCTTGCCTCCTATCATGCTCAACAGTTTAAATAGCTGAGCTGCGTTATCGGGCATGAATATGTGATTTATAGTAGCTTTAATGTAAGGACAATGACTTTTCTTTTTAAATACACGTATTGGATGTACGGGTTAAAAATTACTATTTTCCTGACATTTTAAAATGAATTGCAGATTGAAGAGCTACTCGGACCGTTGGATAAACTGTCTTTTAAAGATGTGATTAACGCTTCGAATGCACTGAAGACAGAAAAGAGGCTGGTGAAGAAATGTCTCAGACCTCCCTTGCCTCCTATCAGATCTACTGAAAACGATGATCTGATAAATGTGAGTTTATTATATAAATCTATTTATTTTTGCTAAACCATATTATCATAATAATATGCAGTGATCAATTGAAACAGCTATAAATACATCATCTGGATATTATGTATGTTTCTGAATTATACTAGAATTGTCGAAATATCTCAACAGTTTAGTTAGTCAAAACTTAATCTCCTTAACTATTCAAAGAGGACGTAATTAAATAAATAAATTATTAATTAAATAAATTCTGCCAGCTTTCAAGATCATCTCCAACCGGCGTTAGAGTCGTAAGTTAGTTTCCGGTTCTCAATCCCCAAACTATGTCTGGTATTTTATCTCCTCACGGTTCTTTAAAATCATTAAACCCCCTTCATACAGATTGACGGTATTCTTAATAGACGGAAATCTTAATCGCATTAACCTTACATTTAGCTACTTCCTTGCCTTTAAATTCAACCATGAGCTTTTGTAGTTTTGTACCTGCATGCTGAACGTGGAACAATATTATCATGTACGCAAGACGCAAGTGAATTGATTAATTGAGTTTGGTGCTGTTACATTTTGGTTTAAGTTTGAGAAGATAAGGTTGTTTATTAATAGTGCGATTTATTTCTGATGCTGAAAACAAGTTCTCAAGGTAAGGTATCATTGAATTTTATTGATAAGCATTTATTTACTTTATGCTGATCTTAGTTCAATGCTGCATAACCCGCCAAGCCCCGAAATAAAGCATTCTCTTGAAATGAGCACTTTGGGGGCTAGATAGTGAATAACTATAGATTCAGCACTCACTCTCAATTGAGCTATGCACCTCTTAAAGCATGTTTCGCACTTCTGAAGTACCAGACTTCAGAATAACTGACTAGGCAAGGTTTACCAACTTCTGACGGTTTAGTATGCTATAACATGTTTTACGTTTACAAATTCCTCAATTTTGTTTGTTAAAAATTATTTCGATGTTTCCAACACTGCATGTCAGTGCAGGACTTGTTGAAATAGCATATTAATATTTCAAATAGATTTTATGTTTTGTTATTCGCAAGAACTGCAAATTCAACTTTAATTTCAGATCTGTAGATTCTTATTATATTATGTTATTATAAGCGGACTTTTATCACTGAAATGATTTCAATCCCCCCGGCCCTGGTTAAGAAAGCCTCTCGTCGCTATTTATGTGTACTTCGGAAACCAAAGTGCGTTGAATATGAAATATTTTATTTATCATCACTTTCATCGTTGGATGATGCATTCAATACAACATCTAAGACTCAATCCTCACGCAGTCATAACTTGCCAGGTCAGGGCCACAATCCCAGAAGGCAAGGTTTAAAGGTTGTTTATTAAGGAAGTATTTTCCGTAGCATAGGTTTGGGGTTTGGGCAAAGTGGCTGGATAAAGATGAGCTGAAAGAGTTATTTGTACGTGGTACCAGTCTTCTTGGTTCTAAAATGCTGGATCTCTCTTTGTCAGAAATAAATAAATAGCGGCCGGTTTGATGTTTAACATGATCTTGTAAAAATCAACCGTCGCGGTTGTTAAAACTAGACACAGGATGAAAAAGTTCATCGGCATCCCACAAGGTTAATCGCATCTAGGGTGATCACATAAATACGTGATACGTATAATATTATTAATATTATACGACTTACGAGTAGTATAATAGATAGAATAAAAATCTTTCTTGTAGCATATGTTTTCAGTCTTGTTGGGTTGGAAGCATCGCCGCTTTTAAAGTGTTTACAAGTATGAAGTAAACAAGAAGTAGCATGCATTTACTTTTCAACCTCAAGGTAAAAATGTTTACGGCCACAATCCACATAACATACCTCAATCAATACCTATCACGCATATATTAATACCCATATGTGTCCTACGGACCGGCCACCATTATAATTTCTAGACACGCTCGGTGTGCGTACACACTGTAATTCTATTCTCTAATTTCTATTACGATACAGCGATACAGGTGGCACGTATGTGTGATATCAAATCTTATGTTTTATCAATCCAACTTTTTGAATATTGGTTCTCTGTTACCCTGACATGATAAGAGCCCTCGGTAGAAAACGACTGGCCGAAAGTTGAAATCTAGATTGGCATTTGAATTTGTATGATTATCACGTGATATTAGCACGTGATATTTGAGCTGCCTCGCCTACCCAATACCTCGTTACTGTGACTAGAAATTGGATACCAACCTCGTTTACTATCTAATAATAACCATGCTCTCGTAAAGTTGTGTGATCTAATGAAGTGTCAAGTGTTGCAGAACTTTTACTTTATATACCTGTTTAATAACGTTTACTTGTCATACTTAGACTTTGTTTATTTGCTTTGCATTGTCATTTACCAATTCGGTTATAAATTTCGGTCAAATCTTCTATTCGATAAGTTTTAGAATTCGGCAAGTCAGTCTTCTTTAAAAGGCTTAAAATTTAGGACACCCAGTAAAATATTCACCTATCACCTAGTGCAGATTTAAAGTGTTCAAAGTGAATGTGACTTTATAAGATGAAGCACGGTAGAATCGCGTGTTACCCAAATTTCAAAAGTAGCCTGTCCAGAAGAGTAATGAGGCTAATCAAATCAATATGAAAATACCAGATTTATCTGGTATTTCTGGTATATAGATCTTGTTTCATGGTATGATTAGCGGAACCTCTGGTTCCGACTTGACACCAAACACGGTCTCTGGCATGTTTCCAAACTTGCAGAAGTGTTCATAACCATCCAGTTTACAGTTTAGTGTGAACGTCACTGAATACTTTTAACAACTTCCTAACTTCCTAACTCCCAACAGAAGTAATACTACTAGTATGGCATATTTATGTTGAGATTTGTACGTGAGATTTCAGTTCCCAATAAGTGCGTACCAGACACTCGGTGATATTTAATCGTCTTATCTTTAAAGTGCGACCGCCGAGGGCTGTTCCGAAAACAGGTAATATTAATTAAATACACCGGTAAAGAGACCTTTTCCGGCAATTCGCAATGTTCGTCTTTTGTTACTGATCTCTTGCACGGTAAATATAAGATTTACAGCACAGGCTACAAAGTCCTATCGCATAAATATCAAATAGATAAGATTGCTCGCTATAAGTATATAATAGATTAAAAATTTAGATTGTACAATTGTCAAATCCATGGAATTCACAATTAGTTCACAGCGAAAGTTAGTTAATTTACCACTGCTTTTTCCTCTTTGTCTGTAATGTTTTTATAGTATTCTAGCTTTTGACAAATGACTTCAATTCCTGTGTCGAATACGGTACTGTTTTAATCTAAGAAACTATTGATTATTTTCCATCTGTACTTAATTTCTCGGGTTTCTCCATCGTAGTAATAAGTATTAAAGTACATATTATTAATAAAAACTTTCATAACCACTGTTATACGGTACTATACGGCTCGTTACATTTTTCAAATTGTTGTATAATTTATGCTACCATAGGAAAGTCTTCAGTATGACAACTACTTGTGACGAGAGTACCCCTCTTATCACCAGTAATCCTCAATCTCCGCCTTCTCCCCCTAAATGGAATGTGTTCTTCATCATGGCACTATTTGGACTGACTTATCTCATACCCTTTGACATGGTTTTCACTGCTAACGGTTACTTCAGAGCGAAATTCAGCGAAACCGGAGACGAATCCCTCATCCAGAGATTTCCGTGTTATTTCCAAGCTGGAGGGATCACTACTCAAGTCATAATGAGCATTTCCTCCATGATCATCCTAAAACGTGTTCCAATAGAACCGTTTGTAATCGGGTGTAACATAGTCACTCTCACTATCTTCGTGGTCATGACCATCATGTCCAAAGTGCCAACAATCACCTGGCCAATGACATTCTTCGTGCTGACCACCTCAATGTATTGTGTGGCATGTGGGGCGGGTGCTATGTACAAGTCTGGGGTGATGGCCATTGCTTCCATGCTAAACCCCAAAGCAATCCAGGGGTTTATCCTTGGGCAAAGTGCTGCGGGTGCAGTTAACTCACTGATTAGCTTGATAACCCTGTCATTTCCCCATACTGATGTGCTACAAGCTGGTTTCTGTTATCTCCTCGCATCTTGTATCTGTCTGGCTGTATCCCTGTCCGTCTACATTCTTATCTTCAACAAGATGCGCTATGTCAGGAACAACACCATTAGAAAAACAGAGGTTGTTCCATCTGATCAGGAGAGTTTACTGGATACCAGTACCAGTACTACAAGTACATCCGATGATGAAACAGAGAAGGCAACTTTCACGGCAGTACTGAAAGCAAGCTGGCAGTTCTGTGCTGCTAACTGCATATCCCTCATCATCACGCTGCTTCTATTCCCCGCTGCTATCTCCAATCTACAACCCTCGGACCCCACCAAGATGCCCCAGTGTGTTTACAACATCATCATCTTCATGACCTTCAGTGTTGGAGATGTGTTGGGTGCTCTCACTTCCACTTTCATTGCCCTCCCCAAGAAGCTCGTCCTTCCCTTCTCCATCCTCCGCCTCATCTTCATCCCTCTTATCTTCATGTGCAACCTCCAACCCCGTACTGTTCCTGTTTGGTTCGTGGCTGATTATTGGCCAGGTCTGTTTTACTTTACCATGGCGTGGAGTAACGGTATAGTGCTGTCCATTGCTGCTACCTACTGTGCTACTTCTGTTGAATCCAAACTTGCAAAGTCCATAGCAGGGACGCTAAGTACTTTTTCATGTGCCTTGGGACTTGTTATTGGGAGTTTGTTGGTGTTCCCCATGCTTTCTCTTTTAAAAATAAAATGATCGCAGATTTTTATTTTTACATAGGTTATATTAAATACCGTTTTAATCAGTTTTTGTTATCTGTACTTTATAGTAGCGTATGAATCCAGCTTTAACAACATCTCTACCTCCCTGCTCTTTAAGTTTAACGAGGTTTTATATAATACAAGGATTGATTTATTATTTATATCAAGCATATATTATCAAAGGTTTTTATAAGTCCAAGGGTTATAATATACCAAGGGTATAACTTATAAGTATCAAGGGTAAATATATGTATATTAAGGGTTTTGATAAATAGAGTCCGTGCAGTTGAGTTTGTGACGTATACGGACACGTTCATTGAAGTTTGAGGATATTGGTAAATATTAGTGACCCTACTGAATGGCACGATGATGTAAAATGTGTCACACTATGAAACTATATAAACTCTCTAACCCTAAGATAATCGTTTCATCCTCTAGATAAACTTTGTCGCATAACGATATCTTTATCAGACGATAAGATATCGCTTAAATGCGGCCGGCAGTGAGTTGTAAACTTTGTCACACTATAAAAACGTGACGGAGTTTATATGGACCCCTTGTTGCCGTGTTTGACCAAATTTTCGAATTTCCAATTCATAGAATAGCTGTATATGACTATTATCTACGTATTTAGCGACTTTTTTCCTTAAATGGTAGCACCATGTAAACTCCGTCACACATTTAAGAAGTTTATATGAGGGATGTTTATGACATCCTGACAAGAAATGCCGAATAGTCTAGCATTATTTTGTGAGCTGAATGTGTTTGGAATTGTTCACATATTTCATTGTTATAGGCAAATACAAATACAGAAGGCAGAAATAGGTAAATTTAGTCACATAAATTTGTATGATATCTCAACATGTGTGAAATTGAGTAAATATTAGTATACCAACTTAAACACCCTATATTACGTACTATGGATCAATTAACAATATTTCATCCATACGCCGGTCATATAAATTATTATATGGCAGTGATATGTTAACATTGGATAAATTTGAAATTTCAACACCTGAACAGGGTAAAAATTTGTAAATTTCGTCACAAAAAAAATATTATAACTTTATTTGCTCCGTGTTGGCAAAATAACTAATTTATCGACATAGTGATGGTGATACAGTAACATTATATACTAATTGAGGTATGATTCTTCAAAATAGGGGCAAGAAATGTAAATTTCGTCACATCAACCATTGCATTAGTTAGATATATTTTCTTTCATATCAACTGCCCTTATTATAGTTGGACTGGATTTATACAAGTATACAGGAAATATAGAAACCCATGCCCATTTCTCATCACATTGAAATTATACTGTTGGGGCAGAAAAAGGAAATTTCGTCACATTTCGGTAAATTAGTGATATCAAACTCAGCATTGTTAAACTTGGGTTCTGATTTGCTGAAAAATAACCTACCAATAATTCCTGGAAGAATATTGAATTCTAATCGGGGTATGGTTCTTCAAAATAGGGTCAAGCAATGTAAATTTCGTCACATACGTCATTGTAAAATTTAGATACATTTTCTTTCACATCAACAGTCCTAATTATAGTTTGAAATGATTAATTCAGAGATAAAGGAAATATAGAAACCCATTCCCATTTTTCATCACATTGAAATTATACTTTTGGGGCAGGAAAAGTGAATTTCGTCACATTTCGGTAACTTAGTATAATTAAACTCAGAATTGTCAAACTTGAGTTCTGATGATCTGCTGAATAATAACCTACTAATAATTCCTGGAAGAATATTGAATTCTAATCGGGATATGGTTCTTCAAAATAGGGTCAAGAAATGTAAATTTTGTCACATACATCATTGTAAAATTTAGATACACTTTCTTTCACATCAACAGTCCTAATTATAGTTTGAAATGATTAATTCAAAGATAAGGAAATATAGAAACCCATGCCCATTTTTCATCACATTGAAATTATACTGTTGGGGCAGGAAAAGTGAATTTTGTCACATTTCGGTAACTTAGTAAAATTAAACTCAGAATTGTTAAACTTGAGTTCTGATTTGCTGAATAATAACCTACTAATAATTCCTGGAAGAATATTGAATTCTAATCGAGGCATGTTTCTTCAAAATAGGGTCAAGAAATGTAAATTTCGTCACATCAGCCATTGCATTAGTTAGATAGATTTTCTTTCATATCAACTGCCCTTATTATTATTGTGACAATTTTTACATCAACTGCCCTTAACTTGAATCAGCTCTATCCGTGCATCGTCCTTATATACAGTTTTCCTGCCTTCCAAACCAAAATCAGATATAAATGATTTCGGCAATTCACCCAAAATTTTAAATTCCATATAATGTGACAGAATTGACATCATTTCCCAATAAGTGCATGTATTTGCTAACTTTTCAAAACAACATATTTTAGGGCTATGATTGGTAGAAGAACCATCAAATAATGAGTTGAAAGGGTTTTGAGGACACCTCACAGTAGAAAAGAGGTATCGTATTCTGAGTGTGACAAAGTTTACGAAATATTGCCTTAAACCGTTCGATCCCTGCCCTTTAGCCAAATGTTGTATTATAATTGTTAGAATGACCTGATCTACTATATTTCAAACCAAAAAATGCTAATTGGGCAGCTATGGTTAACACAGTCACAAAAATGTGACATTTTTTACATTATAGTGCCTAAAAACAATAAATTGTATTTCTGAGCCGTGTATTATATGGAAGTATGGGTCACGTGGCTAATGTCCAGAACTTCTGAACACGCTATTTTTTTTTTGGTTTACCAATATCCTTAAACTTCAACATGAACGTGTCCATTTACGATTTCGTATCATTTTGTGACGATGTTTACATCAACTGCCCTATACTTCAATCAACTGTATCCGTGTATCGTCCTCATATAGAGTTTTCCCGCCTTCCAAACCAAAATCAGATATAAATGATTTCGGAAATTCACCCAGAATTTCAAATTCCATATAATGTGACAGAATTTACATCATTTCCCAATAGCCAAGTGCATGTATTTGTTAACTTTTCAAAACTACATATTTTAGGGCTATGATTGGCAGAAGAACAATCAAATAATGAGTTGAAAGGGTTTTGAGGACACCTCACAATAGAAAAGAGGTCTCGTATTCTGAGTGTGACAAAGTTTACGAAATGTTGCCCTAAAGCCGTTCGATCACTGCCCTTTAGGCCTACATTGTATCATAATTGTTAGATTGACCTAATCTACTATATTTTAGACCAAAAAATGCTAATTGGGCAGCTATGGTAAACAATGTCACAAAAATGTGACATTTTTTACATAATAGTGCCTAAAAGCAATACATTTTATTTTTGAACAGTGCATATGGGAGTATTGGTCACGTGGCTAATGTTCAGAACTTATGAACACGTTAGATTAATATATGTTAAAATTAAAGCACTATCGTCAAAAACGCTGTTTTAGAAATTTACCAATTTCCTCAAACTTCAATGAACGTGTCCATACACTTTTATTTGGTATTTTAATACTAGCTAGTTTCAAAGAATTGATATCAAATTTAGATGGTTACCATGGCCTGGGTACCTGGTACATTCCATGAAACCTGTAGCTGTATCTTGACAACACGTCAGTCAAAAAAGTAGCCATTCTTTCAGGATTCTGACCCGATTAAATCATAGATAAAATCCAGAGTCATAAAATTAAATTCTGTGCACTCGTCCATATAAGTACTTCACGGAAGCTGTCTTCACACCATAGCTTGGTTTATTTTCAGGATACAGAGACTCCCGGTGAGCTGTTTGAAGCTCCAAGATCACCGTCTGAAGACTCAAACCGTAGTTCGTTCTCTCCTCTTGAATGGTGTGTACTGTGTGTAGTGTGTACTGTGTGTATTGTGTAGTGTGTACTGTGTGTATGAATTATGATCCAGAGCCAATAAGTTCTAGTTATAGGAGTTCAATTGAAAAAGTAATATGAAATTGGGTATCTGATATATTGAGTTGTTAGTTCTGTTCCGATTCAGGGCGCAGTATTCACACCGACTGGTCCCCTCCCTGGAATCCAACCTCCGGGACAGAATCCTGAATTTCCGGGACGAAGCTTGGAACGAGTACCAGAACCTGGTGGTAAAGTGTTCAGAGGAGAAGGTGACATTGTCGGTGATAACACTGGCTAAGGGGCTGTTAGCACCAGGTGACAGGAGGTGGGAGGAGTGCACTAGACATCTGAGGCAGATGACGGGGCTAGAGATGGTGCAACACAAGGCACCTGATATAGGTACATCTTCTTTTAACAGGGTCACACTTGACGTAATGACTAGTCCAACTAGCTCTATCATGCAGGCTGCATTGGTCAGGCTACATATTTCAGAAGATATTAAGCTTGAAGGGACAACTTCTACTTATTCAATCCGAATTATTCCTAACAACCCAACAGTCGGCAGATAATGAATTGATATCATAAATTAATTATCACGTTCGAAATGGACGTTTACTGTAATAGTTTAACATTTAGGAAAGGGAGTTCAAGACAACCCGTTCTCATCCGAAAGCTGTGATAAACTGGAAAGTAAAGTCTCAAAGTTTTACGACACCACGCTCCAGTACAGGTACAATCAGGACAAAAGGTTTCGCGTTTCTCGAATCATCTGGTACTAAATATTTGGTATACAAACGACTCGAATAGTTTGATTATACTGACAATAGTTTTTCAAAAATTCATTTTATTGATTAAGTTCATGGTATTGGTATGATTCAACAATGAACCTCCTGCTCGGTACCACTAAATACACACCCCGTTAGAGACATAGCAAAGAAGAATCCAGGAGAGAAGATGAGATTGAGTACAGGAGTTGCTATAGTCCGTCCTAGAACTGACTGTTGGATGTCTTACGAGGAGTACTTAGCTTTGACCGCGTTAGTTGGCTATTACGTACCTGTTCACTTTTAACCACATTTCATACGCATCATGGTGCCGTTAAAGATAACAACTTTGATTTAATGTTTTGTGAATCATGTCCGTTTCTGGAAAAGATAGGTTACTGCTATTATTTTATCCATTTAAAATTGTCATGATCAATTAATTCTTCCATAAAATTATATTTTTCTCCAGGAATGTGCGAACGAAATTCCGCTGGGTTTACGGTACACACGAACCTTGGTGCGGGCACTTGCTGGACAAGATACGACTGTGCATGCCAATGGAACTATCCCGCAATGGAGCAGTCTCTTTGTTCAATATCACGGGTCCTGATAATTATAAAGATTTGGCTGGAATAAAAAGGTACGCATACCTGCCTTTATTATTAAGTTTAAAGATATCTGTAAAAATGAATAAATTATGTGTTTTCCTTCGTGTCCAAATACAACATATTTAAATAGATTAATATTACAGCAATGTGTCTTTCAACGTGTAACAAAACTTTTATTTTTCAGAGGTTCTGGATACTCAACGAACCCAGGCGGTTATCATCAGAGTGGTACTAAAGTCAGACAAAACTTACTTTAATTTGCCATTATCAGCAATTATATGGTTTATTATAATGCCATAAATTAAATGAGTTATAGATTATGTATAAGACTGTGTGTTCAAGTTATGATACATATTTGATAAATGGTCAATGATGCGTTGTGAATTTTTAACATAGATGCAAAATTAGATAATACAATTTTAATGTGATTTCATTTGATTTTGATTAGTTTGAGATTTTAGGTTTTTAGACATTGTAAATATATCACAAAGTTTGATTAAAGAAAGGGTTACAATGTTTGTCTTTTATATTGTCTCGGGTTTATTCAATAGAAAAGATGAGTTTAATCTTGCTCAGATCGAATTCGTAACAGAATATCAATAATTTCGTTCACTGGCTGGCTTAGTTAATTTAGATATTGGAGGATGATAGTTACTCTGACCAGAAGGTTGAAAAGGAAGCATAAACTTTCGTGTTTGGTTCCAACTTAACATCCATGGTAAATAGTCAAAAGTGAGTCATCAAGTACATACCAGGAACATAATGTTGCCATGGTTACGAACCATGCAGGAAAGCATATCCAATGTGCGTGGGACGCCAAGTCGAATGAGTTTTTTGCAGACCAGTCAGCGCAAAATGCCGCGCACGAGCATTGCATGCATATATCATACCGGATCGATTGACCATCACCATGCATGCGGAGTGCTTCAAACCACGTACATCAGGGTGTCCGAATTATTGGAGTGTTCGAAACGTTATATTTATTTCAGTCGATAGGACACATCGAAGAATTCAGGGAAGTACCTTGGAAGTCAAGTTATGATCGATTTTGAAGACTTCACGCAATTTTAGCGCGTCAATAATTATGAGATTCTACTGTTATGTCTACGCACGTGATTTCAGTTTTCAGGCTGAATTTTGAAACTCTCTTGGATGCATGGTAGGGCCAGAGGTATTTCATCTGCAATATATACGTAAGAGGATTCTCCAAACGCATTCTGCAGTTTGCTACCTATCACACAGAATAGAATCTGTTGGCATGGGATTTTCGCCAATGGATTCATCCCACATCCACACGGAATGTTCTCCTTAGCAACAATGGATAACTAGGACCCTTTACTAATCTCTCCACGATAAGGATCAAGGCGAAGGAGTTCGACGGAAGAAACAAATTAATAGGAATTAATCAGTTATAAACTTTCAGGTGGACTAAGCCGTTGACTGCGTGACCCACCCCGACCCTGTGGCTGTATAATTATGGTCTCAACTAAGATTAGCTGGTAGTAAGATCAGGAGTGTCTTGCCCTCATTATGGTTCCAGGATCGTTTACCAATGTAAAGCAGTGAGGGGAGCTGCACGGCAAGATCCATGATTTAAGTATGCAATAGCTAATAAGCAGACTATGATGATGCTCAATTATGTCATATAGTATTTAGTTTACTGTCTGACAATTGCCACGTTTTAAGGACGCTACTTATTTCTACAAACATTAAAAATGCGTGTCCGTGGTAGCGCTAAATGTTGAAAGCGCCTGTACTTTGCACATCTCTGCGATCATAAAGTGGAAGTTGTAAGCATTAGTTCAACGCCGCGCTCTTTATTTGGCGGTACCAGAACACGAGTTTCAAGAAAAAACAAGACTGTTACATAGTAATATAGTTATTATTATATGGTAATTAAAAATAAAAGAAATAAATAGCTATTGAACGAACATGATGATTCAGTTATAAAATACGATTGGCGCAGCCAATCATCTTCAATAAAAATGGCCGAAGTAAAGATTGGGACAATCTAGCCTTCAGAAGCAGAAGTCATAATCTGGAAAATTCCGCGACAAATCAATAACTAAGTGTGGCCATAATAGCTACACAATCAGTTCCTCAATCAGCTTGAGGACTAATATTCTGTATCAGGGTAATATTGTCCCCCTTTATCAGGATTCTACCAACGCTTTTCCTCTCTCCCCTTTTTATATGAACCTCCTCAGCATCGTCCAGTACAAGGTTCATATACTCGTCAAATCCAATCACGTGACCTTCAATTCTGAGGTTCTTCTGATCGAATAACCACATCTGAATACGAGATCTGTTCTGCAAGAATCTGAAGATAAGGTTGATGGGTTGCACCATGAGCTTCTGGACTTTCTGTTGACCACCACCACGGAACGCCATATTTACTCTCTAAAATTGGTAAAAATTATTTATTTTAAAGGTAAATTTACAGAAATCTTTTGGAATTGGATGAGTGGGTCGGAGTGCTGCATCAAACATTTTTACCGCTTTACCGCCGATGAATATCAACATCAGACGATTCATCTTGCTGAAATAGAATAGCCACTTCTTTCATAATAGAACAACTTTATCAGCACATTCGAAGATTTTAAAATAATGAAAGTTTTAAAATAATCGATGTAGCACCCACCCCACTTTTTAGGATTAAAACCACACTGTAATTTATTGTTAAAAGATATAATTCAAAATAAACAATCGCAATTTATACAATCGATTATAATACAAAATCTAAAATTTGTCTAGATACTTTTATTTTAATGAAAAGAAATCTGAAAAAGTGGAAAAGGGCCAGGAAAGGTAGGCCATAACGTGAACAGCAAACTTAAATTGCGGTTCAAAATAATCTCTTCAATTCAAAACGTGTCTGATCTTACTCCGTAAGCTTCAGTTTTTTATAACAACAAAAAAAATCAATGTACAATAATACCTCTAAAACCGAAACATTCGCCTGAGATAATTATCAGATTTGTCCCACTTCTCCGAGCCCCTCTCTCCCCTAGCCTCTAACAACAAAATCCCCTTCTCACTTAAATCAAACAAACAAGACCTGGTAATAGATCTACAATCATCCATTGCCACCTGCTGTAACTCCTTACACGACTCAACAATCCTTCTTACTGACCCGTCGTTTACACGCCAACAGCTTGTAACTTTCAGGATCCGCAACTTACTGCAATGAACCAACAAGTTTAAAGATTCATCCGTCACCTTGTAGCACTTGTCAATGTTCAAACATTCCAGATTGTCTTTGAAAAAGGTAGCGCAGTCAGTAACTGCCTCATCGTTGGTGTACCAGGTGCCTGCTAGGGATATGGCACGGAGTGGCGCGTGTGCTAAACTGACAAAACACTGTGGTCTAATGTTCCGGCACCAGTTTGCTACTAAAACTTCTAGTTTGGCTAGTGGATACGAGTTTTCGTTCTCAGAAGAAGCATCATGGTCGATCTTAAAACCCTCGGGACCTATGTTTGAACATTTGCTTATATTCAATATTTTTAGCTCATAGTTACTGTTTAAGAAGGACTTCAAGACTTTGTTACTAACTGCATTTGACATATCGGACAAATCTAAATTCCTTAAATTCCCAGTTTTTGGAGCAAGCATCAGCAAATGTCGCTCTTTCAAAGACTTTCGAAACTTCTCAGTTATACTAATATGAGTGGCATACGCTAAATGAGAGTCGACAAGTTCATAGAAAGTGTGACAGGTAGAAAAGAGTTGGTGCAAGGTACCAAGATCAAGGTAAGGCAGAATATGGTCGTGTAATATATCCCAATTTAAGTAATTCAGGATTCCTGGAATTTGCTGCTTCATGATTTCACCGACCAAGATCAATCATAGAACCCAAATGCTGTTGAAGATTACAGAGCACAGTTTTTAAAGAGTCTCAGCATGATAGTGGAAGAACAGTTTATCTCAAATCTTGTCCCTTGAAAATTAATTTGGTTGTCAGTAATCTATGATGAATGTCACCAAGAAATGAAGTTTTAAAACTTGTTTGAAATTATCATGAATCAAACGAATGCGACTGTTGGAAAGAATATAAATTTAAATTAAATAGAGTAAATCAAATTAAATAATCAAATAAACTTAACTCAAAAGCAGCCCTAAAAGAAAATGAAAATTCTAACCTTTTTCTGCCTTAAAGCTAAATCAACTTCATCGATAAACTCTTGACATAGTCCCCAATAATCCCATCTAGTCTCAATCGCTATCAGAATCAGAACTGATATCCAGATCCTGACTCAACATGTTCATAATAGCATCACCAGAAGACCCTCCTTCCTCCTTGACATCCGGCTCTCCCAGAGGAGTGATCAACATTCCAGAACCACCGAGGTCGAGCTGTGGCTCAGGTTTTACCGGTACAAATCCTCCGGAGTCTGAACTATCGTTAGAACTATCTGAGTCTGATGCGCTATCAGACTCTGATGATAAATTACCAGAGGCGGCGAGTAAAGTAGATGGTTTTAATCGCTTTACTTTTTGTTCGGTGTCAGATAATTCTGGCTTTGTATTGTATTCTGGTTTGATAGGATTGTTAGGCAGCATTTTGGGCGAGGGTGGTTTGGGGACATGTAATTCATAGTCTCTGGGTTGAGCAGTGGGTTGAGCATAGTCTCTAGGCTGAGAAGTGGTGGTCATAATATTAACTGGCGATAAGGTTTCTTTGGGTGTGAAAGTGGTTGGAACGGGTGATACTTGGTCTTTTGGTTGTAAACCTGAAGGTACAGGGGAAACTCTGTCCTTAGCTTGCATAGCTGCAGGAACGGGCGAGGCTCTCTCGCCTTCCTCTAAGGGGAGCTGGTTTCTTACGGCTGGTTTCTTACGTACGCTCCGATGTTTCTTTACTCTTATCATATTACTTACTTTCTCCAAATAAATAGTGTTTGTAGCTTTGTCCACGATCAGAAAACAATCTTTAGGAGTTTGCTGTTTGTTTCCCTTAAACTCTGAACTCTCATCAGTGTCCTTGTGAGGAAGGAGCACAGTAACACCGTTACCTCCTTCAACCTGCATCTGGCCGGGCTGTGAGGGGTCGATGGAGGCAGGTTTAAAGTCATATTGTACAGCGTGTATGAGGTCTGTGGGGATCTGGTCCCAGGTGGAACCTAGTTTTACGTTGTAAGTTACCCCGGGTACTAACCCAATACCTCCACTCAACATTCTGTTCATTCTGTAGTGATATTGGTGTTATATGAGAGAGAGAAATGCGAAGTTCAGACGTATGTTATATTTGACAATTAATGACGAACTTGAAAGAATTTATATATCTATTTATCTAGTCTGGGATCGTAATTTGTAAGTCACTTTTAACTAATCTGAATCAGTAATAAACAGTAAAACGCAGAACAATTTGAGTAAGGCAGAAGCATACTATGTATTTGTAACTGGAGTGATAAGCTTCTTATCACCAACATTAACCAAGAGGGAGCAAATATCGACATATTTTTAATCAAAACAGTATCAAATTAATAAATTAAATCCGCTCGAGGTCCATGGAGTTATCATATATTAAAAATAAGAGATCGTGAACTAAATCTTAAGGACAAATAACCGCCATGTCTGAATATTCCACATGATCATTTATTCATTATTAGATGATATAAATAAAAACTAGCTCAGCTGGAAAACGTTAAGAAATAAAATGCTGACAGGGGTGAGTCAATTGCAAAGACGTCACTACTCAGTCAAGATGAGTGCCCTACCTGATTTTAAATTTCATTAACGAAACTGCTTTAAGTTTAAAACTGCTTCACATATATTGTACGCTACTGTCCTGTTACTACTAAATTTTTATAATTTATCAACTTACTGTTATTTAGATTAGTCAACTGTTGAACTTTTCGTTTTCATCCTTGACTGAAGAGCTGTGGTCCAAAGATCTACATTACAAAGATAATATTATAACGACACAGACATTTTATTACAAGACAAAATTGTTGAACAACATTTCACAACACTCTGTCGTAAACTAATTTTAATAGATATGTATAGATTTAAGAACGATATCTACTTTTTCCTGAGTCAGGCAAGGATCAAAGCGTTTGGCCGGATAAATAATGCCTTAAGATATAAATGTTAAAAATGAATAAATTAATAGTGGGAGTTAATAGAACTTAAGTTCTTGTGCAACAAGCCTAACACATAATCACATTATAAACGAATCAAAAATTACCTACTTCAATTCTTAAGCTCCCGTATAATATATTATAATATAGAGGATGAAAGGTTGTTTACAATATTATGATTTTTCTAGTTAATTCATAATTCTCCTTCATCACACTACCGTTGACCATGAACCAACTTCTAACAATCAATATCAGTTTTGTTAGACCCATGTAAGACCAAGGCCTTATATGCACGAAAATTCATGTAGCCTAAGTATTTATATTGTATCGTATGCCTACATATGAGGGAAATGCCCCTGAAAGCCCCGGTAAAAATTATCAAGACCCTCCGTTATCATAATTATGACTTTGATTAGATCGACCAGAGTTGGAGTCCTTGTTTGAGTGATAAGATTCTGATTGTTGAGATCGCTTGTTGTTGTTGCTGCCATATTGTTGAGTAGGAGGATAATACTGTGAGTTATCAGGGGGGCCACTCTGGGGGCCGCCTGGAGGGCCTCGAGGAGGGCCTTGAGGGGGGCCTTGAGGTGGACCACCTTGAGCGGGAGCACCTTGGGGTGGTCCTTGGGGTGGTCCTTGGGGTGGTCCTTGGGGTGGTCCTCCTTGGCCTTGGCCAGGTGGGCCTCCTTGTGGACCGTAGTACATACCACCCTGCTGTCCACCGAATCCTTGCTGGCTGTATTGCTGTCCACCAAACTGCTGCTGTTGGTTCTGTTGACTGGGGTCCATATACTGGTAGTATTGGCTATAATACTGGTTCCAGTAATTCTGGACATACTGATTATAATTCTGGTGCTGACCGTATCCCTGATTGTATCCACCCTCGAACTGTTGTGGGGTACCACCTGGAGCCGCATTATTTCCAGTGTATTCTTTCCCCCAGAAACATTTAATATAAGTTTCACGTAGGGCATGGCCATGTAGTTTACAAATGCACATAGCAGCTTCTTCATGAGTAGCCATGCGGATGAAAGCGTACCGTTTGTCAGCAAACAACTTGACGTCCACAATTGTACCATGTTCGTTAACAAGTTCTCGTAAATCTGTATCAGATACTTGCTCTGGCAAATTACCAAAATAAACAGTTGTATTTGTGGGTGTTGATGAACCAAGGGCATCAGAGTAAGAGATCTGTTTAAAACCAGGTCCCTTGCCAGCTGAAGTGGTTTCACCATCACCAGGACCCTTGCGGGACGCCCAGTTAGTTCTAATTTGACGGCTACCAATGAATTGTCCACTCATATCTTCAATAGCTTTTTCTGCTTCAGTACGATTACTGAATGAGAGAAATGCAAATCCTTTAGATTTTCCTGTGTTGTTATCCTTCATGATGCGCACTGAAGTTATTTTACCAAATGATTGAAATGCTTTTGCTAAATCAGTAGCCTGAATTTCTGGACTTAGATCCCCAACAAAAATATGATAGTCGTTTGATAAGTCCCTCTTTTGATTAGTCTTATTGGTGGCAAATCTTACAACGATATTCTTGTCGAATATCCTTCTCTCATTCATAGCTGCTCGGGCATGGTCAGCGTCTTCCCGCTTTTTGAATTCAACAAAAGCATAAGGGTCCTGCCCGGGAGTTTCAGGGAAAACTTTACACGATGATATGTCTCCATATTTGGAAAAAAGTTCTGATAGAAGCTCCTCAGAAACTTTTGGATGTAAGTGTCCTACATACAGGCTCTTGGGGGCATTTTGATCATCATAAAATTCTATGTCTCCGAACGACATGACATGTATGTAACTTCTACCTGAAGCTAAAATAGATGTTAATAAAGAACAAAAAGATTTAAGGATTTGTAAGTTGATTGAATTACTTTCCATCGAGCATACAAGTGTGCACACTGCAAAGGATAGAAACGATAAGTTAAGTCTATCAAACGCAATAATATTAAATGAAAAAGAAAAATTCTGAAAGATCTCAATTCTTGCAAGGATACCCTTCAGTACACGTACAGGGGGTAATAAACAGTAGCTCCTTACAAAAATTCAAACAATATACACATAATATAATAATGACGGATGACCCTATAGAAAAATTCAATAAAAGTCTGAGTAAATTTTATAAAACCCTTTAAGTAGCAAAAGTAGCCAATCCATTGTACTGGCACTAAATTTATATCTAAATCTGCTATTTTAACTGCTCTACCACTTTTCATCCCTCTTTCTCCTCTTAGAAAAAGCGATAGTATTAGATTAGATTAAAATGTATTGAACCAGGATACTGAAAGTTAAACATTAATCGATCTGATAATTTGTAATCACGATGGAATGGTAGCATGCGAGCAAAACAGTTCAAAAATTTTTTAAAAAAATCACATAACAGTAGATTTAAGTATTAGAATTATTATAATTTCCTCGTCATCTCTTCACTAAAATATGAAGTCAACAAAAAAAGGTTAAGGTGGTTTCTTTTCGTTATACAATGTATTTAATAATAATAATAATAATAATTACCAATTATTATTGGCAATTACCGATTGCCAAGGTTTGATGCCTAGGCAGTCGAGACCTCTTATTGAGACCCGATATAATAATAATTCTATACTGTTACATGATTTAAAAATTATGGCCCCTTATTGTGGGCAGAGTATGTCTTTATTTAAGTGTCCTGATTTAAAAATCATCTGAGTGACTGCATTAAAATAATTTAAGGAGAGTACCATAAAAAAGTTAAAACAAAAGGAGTAACAACTAGAACATACTTATATTAATATCAACATTAGAACAAAATACAGTCACCTAATTCTCTTCTCCTACGGTTGAGTATAGAGGAACCATCTTTGGCGTGTATTAGGGACTTAGACCATTACAAATACCCTGCTGTAAGTTTGCAAGGTATGTGGACTAAGTGGGTCGAGAGTACTATTTAAGTTAAAACATACAACTGAATAAACCAACCTTAAAATTCGGATGTAATCTACAAATTAATAAACAAGAAAAAAACAATTTCAAGAAAACAACAATTTTATTTAGTATCAATTAAAGCAAACATAAATATATTTTATATATAACTAGCAGGACCTTTTTACCAGATATCTTAGGGGACTTGGAGTAGAAAGAGAATGGATAGAAGGTATATACCTAATACAAAAATACGTCAAAAAGAATCCAGGGTGATACAGGATCGGAGAGTGCAGACCGTAAAGTTTACGCACCCACCCTTGCCTCCTAAATTCTTGGTTGGGTAGGCATTTATGCGAACTTGGTCGTTTATACTCCAAGTCCCTTTGTTAAAAATTAATAAAATTTATCTCAGGAGTTAACCTTATTCAACAATAATAATATCAATATCAATTTATCGCATAAATTTAACTATCGAATACAGGTTTGATTATCGAATATAGGTTCGATTATCAAATATAGGTTCGATCTGATATAAATTTGTAAAATAAAATATTTAATTATTAAAAACATTACATCAAGTGGTTAAAAATGGATCTGAAAGCTTATCAGTTTATAGTTCAATCATGATAGTAATATTAGGTGTGTGCTGCTGCATGTGCAATTTAATTACTGCAATTTAAAATTGGTTGGAGTCCAGGTATCTTTTAAGTCAGCTGCCTGTGATTGTACTAATAGTGCTTTGGTTCTCAATTTTATCAAGTTAATGGAAGTTTCTAGGCAATTGCTTGAAGTTAAAATTTTTTTATGAACTGTGTTCCAAAGCTTGGCTGCATTAAACAAAAAGGTATTTGATTTATTTAGAAGAATAACAGTTAGACTCGTTGCACGGTTTGAAATGTTGATGGCCTCATAAAGGGAGTAGGGGCAGTGGTACTTGATAATCTTAGAGAATTCTAAAATGCAGTGATATTTGTACAAGTTTTGAGCCGTTAGAATTTTTAGTCTATTAAAAATGGGTTTTGTATGCTCCTTTTCAAAGTGTTTATGGTCTAATTTTTGCATACCATACGGTCTAGTACGTGCACATGTTGATTGTTTATCTAAATATGAGTCGAGATCACCAAAAAGGATCCTTACACAGTGCTTCTGTGTGATAAAAAGACTGTCATTTGATCGTTCTTTAAGGACAACGCCCCAAACACTTATACCATAACTGAGATGTGATTCAAAGAGAGCATAATATATTTTCAAATATAGTTCACCAGGTATCGAGTGTCGAATTCTACAGATTGCACCAGTCATGGACCGAAGTTTTTTACGAATGTAGTGCATATGGGCAGCCCAGTTTAACTTACTATCTATAACAATACCTAGGAAACTGATGAAACTTATTTGTGCTAGAAAGTGCTACTGCTATTTAAAACTAATAAACTACCTCCAACAACACAACGCTTGCACGGACAGACAGATGCTCAAAGGCATAAAGAGTAAGGAAGCTGATGAAATAATGACTAAGTTATTTGACAAGTGGATTGCTATTTTCGGAAGACCTGGACTCATTTTGTCAGATAATGGTGGTGAGTTCAATAATGAAAAGTTTCTGGAAATGTGTGCTGTATTGAATATCAAGGTTAGAACTACCCCAGCGGAGTCTCCTTTCTGCAATGGTACGGTAGAAAGACACAACGGTTTGTTGTCAGAAATGATAGAGGCAGTTCTCAATGACACTAACTGTAACATAGACATCGCTATCTCGTGGGCGATTAATGCTAAGAACTCACTAGCTAATGTTTATGGTTTTAGTCCACATCAACTAGTGTTTGGTCGCAATCCTGAAATACCCGGAGTTTTACAGAACACAGATCATCTTCCCGCACTTAATGACGAAACCAGCAGTAAGATTCTTGCCGACCATCTTAATGCTCTAGCAGCAGCTCGGAGCAGTTTTATCAAGTTGGAGAACACTAGTAAGTTCAAGAGAGTGTTACAGGAACGAGTACAAGATGCAGCATGGAATCATCAGTACGTGAGTGGAGATCAGGTGTATTATAAGAGGACTAAAGTGAAAGGACCTTGGTTAGGACCAGCGACAGTTGTTGGCCACTTAGCAAACCAAGTACTTCTCAAAGACGGAGGTTCACTGATAAGGATACACCCATGTAAGATTGTCTTGAAGTCATCAGCTGACAATCAGGTAGAGCAGGGACAAGAACCTACGAAGGTTGATAACAGTTCACAGACACCAACAAAGTGTCATCAATCTGGAAGAACCAATCATGCAGCAGAGAGGAAGGTCTGTCGTGTTTTAGAGAAGAATATTGCATCGCCATGGTCACTAAGTGATGATGAAAGTGATCAAGGGGAGGAGTTAGAAACATTCAGTGGAGGTGACAATGAGAGTGTACAATTTGCCAGAAATTGAGCCAGATAGTGTGCTAGAGGAACATGGAGCTGTGAGCTCAGTTTCAGGGAGCGTGAATCAAGTCAGTGAGCCAGAAAGTGAGACAGAATTAGAGTCAGATGACCATGGAATTGTAAGTTCAGTTGCAGGGAGCGTAAATCAGTCGAATTGGGAAAGTGTGTGTCAAGCCGGATCAGGCGTGAAGAAAAAAGTGAAGAAAAATGACATTATCAGGTTTAAATCCTCGGAGAGTGATGAATGGAATAATGCCTTGGTGATAGGTAGAGCCGGGAAACCTAAAGGAAAGAACAAAGATCTGTATAATGTACGACTGGACGAGTCAAACGGTGAACCCGTATCAGTTGATTTGGGAAACTGTGTACAAGTGGAGAGGAGTGTTCAAGAAACGGTATTATTTTTTCAAGAAAATGAAGAAATAATATTCCTAACTTCCCGATTACCTGACGAGGAAAAAGTGAAGAGGGCAAAAGAAGTAGAACTACAAAAGTTCAACGAGTATAATGTCTTTACAGAAGTTAAAAACATCGGACAAAAGACCATCTCGTGTAGATGGGTAGTAGCCGAAAAGGGGGAGCTAGTGAAAGCAAGACTTGTAGCCCGTGGCTACGAAGAGTTTTTGCAGAGCAGAGTAGATGCACCTACAGTCAGCACGGTTAGCTTACGTAGTTTGCTTACTATCGCAGCCTCTAATAAGTGGAAGATACAGTCGTTTGATGTTACGAGTGCGTTTTTACAAGCTGAAGATCTGGAGAGGCCAGTTTATATCAATCCTCCCTCTGAGGCACGCAAGAGTGGTATAGTGTGGCAGTTGCGTAAACCGATGTATGGCCTAGGCGACAGTCCTAGGAATTGGTACTGCACATTACGAGATCATCTGCTACAAAACGGATGTGTGGTTTCTAAGTTAGATAAAACACTTTTCTGTTGTTACGAGAATAATAAACTGGTTGGATTACTCGTTACACATGTAGATGATGTGTTATATGCGGGGACTACTCGTTTCAAAGAATGTGCTATCAAAACCACATTTGAGAGATTCAAGATCTCTAGTTATTATAGAGACACTTTCAAGTACCTTGGTTTAAATATAGAGCAGGATCCGGAGAATCATGCTATTACTATGGACCAACGGGAGTACTCAAAGCTGGTTAAACCAGTTGTCATAGAACCATCGAGACGGAAGAACCCTGAGGATGGTTTAACAGAGAGTGAGAAGACGAGTTATCAAAGTGCTTTAGGAAAGCTGCTGTGGCTAGCTGGGAGAACTAGACCAGATTTATCATTTGACACCATGGAATTGTCTACAAGGTGTAAAACTCCGAAGATTAAAGACTTACAACAACTGAATAAAGTGATAAAGAAAGTACATGACTACCCTTCTAAGATACATTTTAAACCCCTTAATCTTAAAAGTGAGGATTTGAGATTAACTTTCTTTTCAGACGCGTCACTTGGAAATCTGCCTAACAGCGGCTCATCTAGAGGTTATGTTATATTGCTTGGAAACCAGGCAGGAACTGTGAACTTGTTAAACTGGTCAGCGAAAAAGATAAAAAGGGTCGCTCATTCGGCCTTCGCAGCTGAGACCTTGGCGTGCACAGATGCAATAGCCGATGCTGTATACTGTAGACAGCTGTTCAGCGAGATCTTGTATAAAGATCCACGTAGTGAAGTTATTGAGATTCATGGTTACGTAGATAACATGCAATTTTTTGAACAGATCTCAAGTACGAAACAAAGCATAGACAAGAAGATCAGATTGGACATAGCAGAGATACAAGAGTCAGTTCAGACGGAAATTAATAACATACGGTGGATTCCTACGGATCACATGCTCGCGGATTGTCTCACGAAGAGAGGTGCAGACTTCAGCAAGCTCGCCCAAGTCATCGAGCAAGGATACTGTGAATAATGAATATGTCAAGAGAGAGTAGAACTGTTTTGGACTTTATGTTGTGGAAAAGAGAAGGAATATTTTTGCTCAAATTATTTGTTGTTTGAAATGTCAATTTGGTTAAACAATAACTTTTTAACGTCATTTGTAATAAACTTTTAACTTTAAATGTGTGTGTATATATTAGTATTGTTAGAATTACCAACTTTGTAACGAGTCATTTTTACATTTTTAACCTTTCAGAGACTTTTAACATGCACGAGGTGTTTGTATTTAACAATCTTTTAAACATTTGTAACTCTTTACACGTATATTAATTTTGTGTTTTTATGTTCTAGAGAAGTTTCTCGAACAGAAGTTTTGGGAAGGATATTTTGACAATTTTTTGTCGTTAGTTCATATTTTTTACTGAGAATGTAGTAAGTTGGGAATGTTTGATGAAAAGTTAGTGAATCCCATTTTTAGGAACCAGTCTATCCTTTCTTTTCTTTTCTCTTAGTCTGGTAACTGAACTTTGGTTGTATTTGCTAAATTTTCAACAATTTTGGGAGAAAGATAGATTAGTTAGCGAATTTAGACGTGTGTACCAGCTTTAGCGCTCCTTTTCTTTGTGTTGTAGCGCACGGTCACATTTGTCAGTTGATTTGCTAAATTTTCTATTACATGGTGTAGAGATAATAAGGATTAATAGATACAATTTAAAGTACATTTTGTACGTGACATGTGTAATAAAATTACCGCTAACAGAATAATTCAGATTCCTACTTCTAAAAGTCTAACATTTCAGTTTCAAACTTACTTTTCAGAAAGACGATCCTTTCTTCTCAAAGACATGAAAGTGTTTACCTGATATTACTTTATTAACTTGCATCTTCTGTAGGAAGTGTTAACAGGGGATGTTTGGTATTTTCTGTTGGGATGAGCTAGGAGCAGGTTGCTCAGCGTGAGTTTTTGGTTTTATAAGAATGCTGTCGTTTCGATCAACATGCTATTACATGTTCTTCACTGATCCCGAGCCTTTAGGGACTCAGTTTGAACCTGTTTTTAAACGACAGAATTCATGTATTTTACGTTTTAGAACTGTTTAGTACAGTGGTGTGTGTCAATGATTTGTTAGTGACTCATTATTGACTCTCTAGAGGTTGTGTTTAAAGCTTGAATAGCTCCTAATATTTAGTTTTAATACGCAGTTTTTCTGTCATTACGATAACTCGATACAGAAATCTCTAAAGATCACACTTGATTACAGTGTTGGACGGGTATTTTTTTTTTGTGCACCTGTCATTCTTAGAACGATGTTTCAATTCCGTTCATAGAAAAGAGATTTTCGTATTAAGAACTTTGATAGTTATTAGCTAATAGTTAGACTGTATTAATTCTATCGGACGTTTTGTACAAGTATTATATCTCTCAGATCTCACGCTCAGCGTGGAAGGCAGTCTTTTTAGCCACTAGCCTGTTTTACAGCGGATGTTTTTCCCGCGTTAACAGAGATTTAATCCACTTGTACCACGTGACTCGCCGAATATGGAATAATCGTTAACTGCTTTTAGTTATCTGCTTTTAAGACAGTGGATCGAGACACGTATTAGATTTGCCTTTGTTTGAGCCGCGCATTTGTAGCTCAAACTCATAGAAAGTATCTTTTTTGTTTAGCGCGCACGACACGTTTTTGTGTTGCGTGTGGGGATTAGAATATTCTTAACTCTACGGTTTTTGCTAGAGTTTATTTCCTAAATTTAACTCGGATAGTCGGATATCTTTTTTTTAACAAAGAAAGTATATGGAGTTATGACTTTAAGATTGTAAAAGTCATGAGTTAAATTATTAGTAAGTACTTTTTTTTTTTAAAGTAGGGGGAATGTTAGAATCTTAATTCTATTTGTAGCTTGTTTTTGTACTTCATATTACTAACCCTGTATCTCACTTTAGCAAAGGTTTAGTTCCAGTGATTGTATATACAGTGTTGGGGTAAAGGGACTCCAGAAGGCAGACAAGGCTCGACTCCAGACTCTAGTTGAAGTAACAGAAGAGAGAGGAGTGTCCAGTGTTTAGTTGACTCCAGACTCTAGCGAAGCAGAAGGGAGAGGAGTGACGTTGTCGACTCCAGACTCTAGCGTAGCAGAAGGGAGAGGAGTGACGTTGTTTTAGTGATCCCACAGATTCCAGTCGACAGATACTATCTGTGTTCTGTGACGTGGAAAGAGTGGTAAGTAGTTTATAGTTATAGTTTAGTAGTTTAGTCTAGGAGTTCCCGCTTCCTCTTTCACTTTCATTTATAGTTTCACGTGGTTTTACCTTTCACTTTACTCACGGTAGTTTTCCCCCAGGGTTTTGTTTTATAGTTATCAGTTCCAGTTTAGTTGAAGTCCTCATCATTCAGAAGTCCCTCATATAGTAAGAAGAACATCATCATCAGAGTAGTAGTTTTAATTTAATAGTTGTTTAATCTAATAGTAAAAAGACATTATTTAGTTTAGTATTGAATTGTGTATTAGTTAGAGCAGTGTGAGTAACTGAGTCACACCAATCACCTTTTAATCACTCATTCACTATTTGAGGGTGAGTACATAGAGTAACAAGGTTACATTTGAAACACCATTTATTTGTATAACCTCTTTATTCATCTAATTTGTATTTATAATAATTGAGTATTATTTGTTATTTAATTAACCCAAGAACAGGGTTCCAACAACATGAACATGCCAGCACACTTCACATAGTACAGTCAAATCCGTCCTTATTTAAGCCTTTGTCGGACAAAATTCGCAACAAAGCGATTTTAACGGGATATGGTCGGGACAGGTCCCAGGAATCATTCCAGAAAAGTCCCAAAAAATCTGACTTGAGCAAAATCCACAATTACCACTTTTTTACCACCTTTTTACCACTTTGGTTTTGGACATGTTCAAACCTGGTTGGTGGTTTTGTTACACTGCCAAAATGGGCGATTTTCTCATTTTTACAATAACTCCATTAATAATTACTCGATG